TTACTTTAAATTTCTACCTTCAAGTTCATTGACTCTTTATTTGATACACTAAAATCTTATTTTGAAATCCTTCACAAATTTTGTATTTCAGTTATTGCACCTTTAGACTGCAGATTGGCTCCTGATTCCTTTTTATAATTTCTATCTCCATGAATACACATCTTTTGTATATATGTCATTAGTGTAATTTAATTTTTTGTTCATGGTTTTCTTTAGATCTTTGAGCATATTTATGACAGTTGGTTTCAGTCTTTTTTCTATAAGTCAAATGCCTGAATCTTTTTAGAGATGATTTCAGTATTAGCTTTCCATCTCTATAACAGACACTATAGATAACTTATAAAGAGGAAAAGAGTTATTTATAGTCTTGGAGGTTTCAGCAAATGGTTAGCTGGCCCTGTTGCTTTGGGCAGGAAGGACACTGAGATTGGAATAACTGGCAAAGCAAAACTGATCACTTCATGGCCAGCAAGTAAAAGAGAGAAAACAGAAGATACACGGATCCCCAACCTCTTTCAGTGGCACACTCTGAATAACCTCATCTCGTTTTCTACCACTTCCCAGTAATGCTAAGTTGGAGATCCAACATGTGAACACACCGGTCTTTGAAGGGAACTTCTGATTGAAATGATAGCAAATTTTCTCCCATGAGTGAGTGACAGTTTACTATTTCTTATTTGCTTTTTGTGGTCTTTTTGGTTGAATAATGGGAATTAGGGATTTTATAATGTGGCAACTCTGAAAATTAGATGTTTTTTTCTGTCTCCAAGGTTTGCTTCTATTGCTTTCTGAGGATTATAGTTGTCCACTTGATAAGTGACTTTGCAAGCTGTTTTTGCAATGATTTGGTGAGTGTGTTCTCTGTTATCTCTAGTGAGTCAGTGACCTTTCTTAATTCCAAAATCTACTTCCTCCCACCTTACCAAACAAAAGATGAAAGAAAGAAAAGGAAAATAAGAATGAAAACATCTCTCTCAAATATTACATCTTAACTCTAACCTGGATTATTCTGTCAATGCTAAGCTATGTCATTTACCATGTATAGCTTCAGAAGTTTATACGTAAGTAGTTCTTATTGTGCAAATGTCTGGCAAAAATTTCTTTGATAATTTAAGAACAAAAATTAAATCAAAACAAAGGAGAAATAAAAATCACAAACCTCTCCTAGTGCTTTGGCACTCTTGTGTACTTCATTTAACCTGGCAATTGACAAGTCAGTCTTAGCCTTTATTTCCCAATTTGACTGAACCTAGAGATCAACCACAGATGAAAGCCTTAGTATCTTCTCAGGTTTGTTCTTTTTTTTCTTTATTCTCTGTCTTGATACAGGGCCTTGCTTTGTAGTGCAGACTGGTCTTAAGCTCACTGTGTAGCCCAGGCTGGCCTCAAACTCACAGTGATCTTCCCGTCTCAGCCTCCTGAGAGCTAGGATTACCACACTAGAGTTCTCAGGTCTTTTTTTTTGGGGGGGGGGGGTAACCGGGAATTGAACTCAGGACCTCATGCTTGCCAGGCAGGTGCTGCACAACTGAGCTAAATCCCCACCTCTTCTTGGCTTAAACAATGTAGTTTTTGAAACTTCACCTTAAACATCTTGCCTTAAACATTGTAGTTTTTGAAACTTCACAGTATAAAGGTGCTTTTGAATGTCTTAATTTCTCAGAAGATACTTTCTCCCCATCATTTCAAGTTTTTTATGCTTCAACAATAATCCTCTGATCTAAGTGATTGTGGATTATTCATTAGTCCCACAATATTTGTGAGAAATGCCTGCTGCTTTTCTGCTGAGTTCCAAGTTAGGCAAAACAAAGACTATCATCTTTCATCAGTCCCCAGGCCACCCCAAGGTAGACCACAATAGACACATACAATTCTTTTGAGAAGGTCTGCTCTGTTCTTTCTTAACTCAGGGATCAATGTCCAATATGAAAAAGTTGGATGCTGTATTCAAGATTGCTACAGAGTCTGGTCAGGAGTTATTCAAGGACAAATAAAAAGCCCTAAAAGTACCCTACTATTTTAAAGTTGAAATTTTTTTGATTCAGCATTTGTTTGGTTACAAGAAATATTTGACTATTTTCCAGAGTTCTCGCATAAGCAGTATTGACAATTTCCACATAATTTCCCAGTATCTTTGTGGAGGGACAGGACATTAGAACCGACTATGTTTTTTTATAACACTATTTCAGGTATTTTTACTGCTTCACTGCAGTGTTCTAGGGTAGAACATACTAAAATAATATTCACACCTCTCCCTATCCTCAACCCTTCCTAAGCTACAACTGACTATTTGATGTTACACCAGCTTTCCATCATGAATAACCATAAATCCAGATTAAGTATAAAAAAAGAAACATTTCAACCTGAGATCATCCAAAGGAGCTAGGCGTGAAGCCTCACCATCTTATCTTAGAAACCTAATAGAAATTTTGGCCACCAGAACAACAAACTAATGGCAAATGTAGCCCTAGAAATGTAAGGAAATTGTAAATATATTAGTTAAAAGAAATAAGTAAATAAATAAATATTGTTTATAAATAGTAAAATAATATTTTTCTGGGCTTAACAAAAATAAAATGCCTGTATAAAACACAGGAGTTAAATTCATGAAATTGAAGTGTTTTGAATCCCTTATACTGTCCAGGAATTAGAAAAGGTATTGTTTTATAGCAGATATTAATAAATCAAAGACAAATTTTGCATGAAAAAGTGAGCCATAGCATAAAAATATCCACGACCCATGTATCTGTCAAAGGACTTGTCATGAAGATACAAATAAGGGCTTAGAAATCAGTAAGAAAAAGACAGCAATCTAATAAAAGAATGAATGAAAAACTTGACCAACTGTTTCACAAAAGAGGATACCCAAATATCATAAAGACATATAAATTGATTTTGCCACCCTGGAAATGCAAATTATATCCACCATGTGATACTTCTACATACTCACCAGAATATATATTAGAAAAGAAAGTTAAAGAAAGAAAAGAACACAAAATACAATTGAAAACGCAAATGTTGAAAAATGAGGATCAAATAAACTTTCATTCACTCATAGTAGGCATGTTAACCGGTGAAATAAAAAAACTAGCAGTTTATATTCATTCCCTAGTACAATAATACATTTCCTGTCAACATACCAAAATTAAATAAGTAGCTATAGACATCAAAGGTTAGGTAAAAGAATATTTATTGCAGTACCATTGGTAGTTACCCCACCTTTAGCTTGGTGTCGAAGAAAGGTAAAGAATGTTTGTAATTATATACAAAAATAAAGTTGAATAAGTATTATTACATTCTTTAATGTAGATCAATCTCAAAATATAATATTAAGAAAAGAGTCAGAAAGAGTAGATACTCTGAGTTTCTGTAAGTGCTTGAAAAAAGATGAAACTAATTTTGGTGGTACTATTCAGAAGAGTGGGGGTTTTGTACAAAGGTACACTGAGACTGAGCAGGAGATAAACATTTTACATCTTCCAGTGGGAGGTGGTCAGACAAGTTGGTTCACTTTGTCACCAAGGTATACTCTAAAGATTACTGCACATCTTTGTATATGTTACTCATTAAATAATTTTAATACCCATCAACTTCGGAAGTTTAAATACTAGTGGTAGGAATGTAAATTGTAACAACTACTCAAGGTTAGCCAATCAAGGAATCTCTTAGGATTGAATATGTGCAATCCTTTGACCCATTACATTGACTTGTTGGTATCTTCACCTTAAGGAATGGGGACATAAGTAAACAACAAAACAAAACATACACATTTTTAAAGTGGCATTACAGTAATAATAAAAACAAACTACATGTCAGAGAGTAGGGAAGTGATAAATTAACCTGTATGTGTGCACGCACCCATTTGTTCTAAAGACCACCACAGAGTATTTTAAAAGGATGAGGGAGATCACATCACATAGATACAGAAAGATCTGAACAGAGAGTGTAAAATGTAACTTGTACCCATACAAATGCACAGAATCTAGGAGCCACTGTCTAAGGACTGGGATTTGTAGTTGGTGCCTAAGAAGTTCATTTGCAACTTTTTAAAATGGATATTTTGTACCTGTGTAGTTTAACCTTATTAATAGCACTTTGACTCTGGAAGACTATGGAAGTAACGCTATCTCATTGATTGCCTTTAAGAGGTAAACTGTCCGGCTGAGAAACTAGGATTTGGAAAGTTTTCATTGCACACTGCTCTGTACCTTTGAAACAGGTATCACAAACTTGTACCTGGGCAACAACCAGACCTGGCTTCAAAATAAAAAAGCGCTGGGAATGTAGCTTGGTTCTGAAGGCTCTGGGTTCTATATCTAGCATCAAACAACAAAAACAAAACGATATAATTGTAATATCTATTGGAAAAAATAAACATTTTATATAGAATAATAAATGATGCCCAGAATTGTGGGAAGCGTACAACTAAATGACTATTACAGACCTTAGTTATGCAGTAGGCACACTGAGAATTAGACCTAAATAGGCCCCTGGCAGCAGAGAATTCACAAGTCAAAAGGACACTGAGCAGATTTGGGCAGAGAAATGTAACGCCCCGTGTTTTCATTACCCTGGAGTTCAATGGGAGGCGCCCCGGCGCCCCGATATCCATCTCCACCGTTATTTTCCACGAGCTGGAGCTTAAAACCCCAGTGACTGCAAGACAGCAGTAGAAGCAGAATGGCCAAGGAAGAAGAGGCAGCTAATCGAAACACTGTAACACTGAGTGCAGGAATGTTTAAGCAAATTCGGGAGCCCCCAAACCTGCACCAGACTCCCACAGTTGCCTTTCTTTCACGTAGTCCAGCCCGCCTTCTCCCGCATCCCCGCACCGCTTATTGGTCAATAGAGGATTGACAAATGCTCTCACCAATCGATTGTCTCCTCTAAGGCCCGCTCCTCCTCAGCCGGGTCTTTGGTCCCGGGGTGCGAGTCGGCGGCCGTGCGTCTACGTCAGCGTGATGACGTCACAGGCAGGGCTTTGAGGTGACCAGCAGCCGGCTGCGGGCGGCTGGCGGCGGGCGGAGGGCTGCGAGTCGCCTCTAGGCCTGGATCCTGGTCTGGGTCCGCCCTGTCGCGCTCCGCCCCTCCGCCCCCAGCGCCCGGGCGGGCCCGAACTTGGAGCCGCAATCTCCGGGCTTGGCTGGGGCGGCCGGCCCGGAGCCACCCCATGAGGTACGCTGTGTTTCTGGTAGCCCTTTTTGACAGGTGGGAAAACTGAGTCCCGGGATGAGGTCGCCTTAGGGAGGCCGCAGCGCGGGGGCACGTTTTGTTTGCAGATTCTGGGAGCCGGAGCTGTGGGAGGGCAAAGACGGCTCTGTGCAACAAGGATGCAAAAAAGAAGCAGGAGACTATAGAGCCTCTTGCCTCCATGGTGGGGGGTTCAGGGAAGGATGCAGGAAGTGGGGTCTCCTTCCTCTTTCCTGTGGACCCCGAGGAGGCCAGGGGCCTTTCAAGAGTCATCGGGAGTGGTGACTAGGGCCGAAACGTGGGTTATCCCGGCACATTCATCAAGAACCTTGTTCACAACCAAAGAAAATAAAAATCAAAGCATGACTCAGGAATGCACTGGCAGTGGTTTCCATTCACTTCCTTTGCACATTCATCGTGCCATTTTTTTTAAAGCCTGTTTACTTTTGTTTTGGAGTTTAAAAGGTTTATTTTTTATTTTTTAGTTCAAACATAACGTTTGCGGCATGGAACTTTAGAATTCTTTTAAAATGGGAATTGTTCACTGTCATTTGTCTTCTGTTTCATGGACGAATCATTGAATTCGTCATTTGAGTAATAGTTTGGGTACTTTTGGGTACAGTCTCATTTGTATAGATACATTACATTGCAGTGAATCCAGTGGATGGGTTGAGTAGTTCTCTTTATTCCTTTTACCCATGCACTTTTTTCTAGAAGCAAGATTTGATGAAAGAAAACAGCTTGTGGTATCTTTATTTCTGTAATAAGATAGTGGGTGATTTGTGTTTTTGAAATGAAAATGTCTAGTGGACCAAATGCAGAATGACACGTACATATGTATAATGTTTTGTATTGTCCAGAAGCACCCACTTTTCTCGAACCTTTTAAATTTTAAACCTTTTAAAATTTCATTATTGTATTGTAGAAAACCGTGTTAAAGGAATGATTAAAACAGCTTCTGAGGATTTTCTCTTACGTTCTTGAAAAGGTGCTGATAAGTCATTTGAGTGTATTCATTGGAAAATTCATCTGATGAATCTCTGTGCCACCCTAGTTGATTTAGGAGTTGGAGAAAGAATAACGAATAGTTTAAGTTCCTTGCCCTCAAACAACTTATATCTTGGTGGAGATATGGTGGATATGGAAACTAAAAAGTAATTTTAGGTAGTCATAAATACTAGAAAAGATATTGCAGAGGTGAGGAGCTGGGTGTCATCAGGACAGGCTTTCCAGAAGTGGTGATGTTTTGGATGAGACTGTTTGGAGTGAGTCAAATAGGAGGATATCTGCTGGAAGCTTCTAGTAACATTACACAGGCGATAAAGGAAGAATTAGTTAGGCATGTTCCAGGGATGAAGGGAAGCCAGTATGGCAGGCGCAGAGTAAGCCAAGGGGGAGTAAGGTTGGGGGCAGTATCCCTTGTGGTAATTACTAAAAGGTTAAAAAAACTGTGTTTGTAAAGCCCTCCTTGTTTTCATTTAAGAACACTCAGACTCCAACCAGCTTTCTGCTTCATTTGGGTTATGAAATAATTGCAGCAATTCATATGTGTATATGATTTATATATTTATAAAAATATACATAAATATTTGTATATAGACACATTTTTATAAATATGTGTACATTTTTTGTCCTTCATCAGTGGTCCTCTTAATGAAAAGCTCGTCTGTCCTCCAGCACTGAATCTCATCCACTGATTTTTCATTTCATTCTTATATGTGCAGGACTCAAAGTCCCTGCTTATCTTCAACACTTTCCAATAGAATCTTTATCTGCTTTTCATTTAGAAAACCTTAGCAGTCAGCCTCTACTCTGTCCAGCCCGAGTTCTATGAAGCTGCAGGGTTAAGTAGATTATCCTTTTCCATTAGAGCTTGTATTGCTGAGCAGGGTCACTTGTGTGCCTTTGTTCAGAATGCCTGCGGTCTTTCAAGTATGTTGGGTACACTTTATTCCTTCCAGCATCTTGCAGAGGTAAATATTAAACCTTTTCAACGTGAAAGAAACTTGTACTTAGGGCCACTGAGCTAGTACTGATTACCCTTCCTCCAAAGTCCACTCCATTCTGCCCTACTTCCTGCTTCCGTGCTAGTACTTCATGTTCGTTTCGTGATTTGGCACTATAGAAATCATTTGATTTGACTCTCAATTTAGTGATGAGATCGTGGAGATCCAGAGAGGTTTAATGTTTTCCAGAATATATCACAAGCAATGACCAGACTCCTGTCAAATTCTTTACCCTGCTGATTTTCAGCTATGTGTGTGTTTCCTCTATTCCCTTCTTGAAAGTCTCATAACAAGGAATATCCATCTAGAGAAAAACACAATATTTTAATAACTACAACCTACTATCTATGAACTGATGAAAGAACTTTAAAAAGATAGGCAGTGCTTCTTCTTGGGCTAAAATAATGTTTTATTTTCCTACACTTTTCTGAACAGTGAGTTAGTATAAATTCTCTGGAAGAATCCTTGGTTTTTGTTAGAAGGAAAAGAGGCTGTGATTTAAAACTGACCCTTTCATATTTTTCATTTCAAAATATTTAGAATTGACTTTAATTTTTTTTTCCCCCAGCTTTGACTTTGTGCTTAGAAGTATGGGAATATTTCTTACAGATTGCTGGCTCAGAGTTTCTGGCAAGTGGAGTTTCTTACTAAAATAGAGGAAGTTCTTATGTTAGCTTAGTGGTAGAATTTATCTTAGTAGTGTGTTATATTTAAAAAATAAATAGCAATCAGTTGATAAAGTCTGTGATTGAGAAATAGTTTACATTGTCCTAACTTTTAAAAGTGGTCATTATTTGACAGTTTTGCTTATTTTAGTCATTTTAATTGAAATATATTAGATGAATAATACCAGACTAGTAAATAGATTAATTTACTTTCTGGATGACTTTCTGACCAGCCATCTTCATGGTTATTGTGTTTTTCATTAGTCAAATTAGAATAATATGAATGGAATTAGCACCATCTTTCTTAAATGTTGAAAGATCCATAGTCATAGACAAAACACAGCTATTGCTCTTTAAGCCAAAATATCAACTGGATAGCATGACTGAGTAGCTCTGTGTGTTAAGATTGTTCATGTAATTGATGTTCATATTCTAATACTCCAGTTTAGGTGATTTGACTTCACATTATAGCGATACTGGACTAAAACTGGACTCCTGACCTTTACTTTGACCTTTCCCCCTTCATTGTCATAACTTATGGTCTGCTCACAGTGCTGTTTACATGAACAACTCCTGATGGTCAAGTCTTGTCTCTTTAAATCCACTCAAATGCTGGAGCTCCTTGGTAAAACATTTCCTGGGCCTCCTTAATGGAAGCCTTTCCCTTTTCATAGCACTTTTTTGAGTCAGTTAAAACAGTGCGACAGTCTTGGGATCTTTGACAATGCACTACTGTATGCTTGAGTTTTCCAATCTGTATTTACTTGAGCTTCAAAGACTTAACAATGTGTGCTAAACACATAGTGTTTTTTATTTTATTTATTTTTTTCAGCTGTAGAGCCCTCTCTTTTATTTACACATTTATTACTTCATCCTTGAGAGAGGCACTATTAGACTTTTCTTGGCTTCAAATCAAGAGAACCTCTTTCTTGGAACATAAATTTTTATACTGTAAGATGCTGAGGACACTGTATTAGCTTTGCTTTCTTGTGACCAAACACCTGAAAAAGACAATGTAAAGGAATAAAGATTTATGTTAGCACATGGTATCAGAGATTTCAGTCTATAGTTGTCTGCTGTCACTGTTTTGGGTTCGTGGCATGGCAGAAGCGTCATGGCTGAGGAGCATGGTGGAACAAAGCTGCTCACCCAGTGACAGCAGAGAAGATAGGAACGTCAACAAGAGTCCAAGGACAAGATACACCTTTTAAAGCTGGACCCTCATTAACCCACTTCCTCCAGCTGGGCCCAACTACCTAATAGTCCATTAAGCTATGACTCATCAGTAGACTAATCCATTAGCACTCTCATGATTCAGTCACCTCTTTGGGTGCCACCTCTGAACACTGCCTCATTGGCGATTCAAGCCTTCAGTGCATGAATCTTTGGGGGGACATTTTACATTTAAGCCCTGGTAAGTATATTGCCACAAATAAAGTCAGTGCTCCCTGTCCAGTGCTACTGGATAATAGCAATAGCAACAATTTTCAGTTTTTAATGTGATACTTGAGAACACTGAGGCCCAGAGAGACGAGCCCAGGGGCCCTTGATACTTGTAGTGCCAGGCTAAAAGGCCTGGTTAGTACTCCCTGCTCTCAGCGGCAAAGGCTTGTGGTTCTTATGTCCCATATTAAAACTAAGGCAACCACTTAAATGATGCATGAACACAGCTTGGGGTTTCTCATTGTTTTGCTTGCTTTGTTTGTGAGTTGACCTGGATCCAGAACATACTGTATTTCTTACTGGGAATCAAGATCAAAGCTGAACTCTCATCAAGAATCTCTGACATTGAACTATTTAAACCTGGAATAAACCTTGGCTATTCAATATAATATGTTGATCTTCCTGGACAAGGATTAGGATAATACTGGGTTTAGTATTCTTTAGTTTAAAACTTGCCTTCTAGTTACAGTTCTCCAAAATACATCTTGGGAGCAGTGAGTATTCTTATTGTATTAAATCTGGTATTTGGAGGAATTTAGCCTTTTTATTAATTAATTCTCAGTGATAGGGATAGAAACTTGAAACTACAGTATTCTGCATTCTAGGCAAATACTCCACCTCTGAGCTACACTCCCAACCCCTGGTCTTGTATCTTCCAAAGTAACAGTGTGTTTAGTTTCCAGGTCCTACATTTTCCAGAACACTGTACTTTTCAATTATTGTGAATTATTGCTCACTGTAGTATATTGTCACTTACTTTTTGTTTCAAAAAAATATATTACACGATTATTTTTTGAATTAACTACTTGCTTGTTGTATTAATGGCGTAGAGCCAGCAACCCTGAGTGCCTTTTTTCTGTGGTCAGGGTAT